ACCCTCCACCTGTGGCTGGGGGATGCTTTCGGCAGGGTTGGGAGCACCTTTCCCTCTCCGTGGGGTCCTGGGGGCTGCAAGGAGGCCACCGTGGCCCCGGGCTGAAACCCTTTCTTAGGTGTTTTTGCAAAAAAAAAAAAGGCCTTTATTTTTTGTTGAAAATGACAGTCCACTGGGAGACTCACTGCATTTTTTCAGCTGGGAAAAACGTAGTAAGTGAAACATTTAATTCAGGTCTGGGCGGTTTTCCCCAGGCACCACAGACAGACCAACGGCGCAGCTCCTCCCCGCGCAGCAGTGCCTGCTCCATCCCGACTCACACGGTCCCCGGGGCCATGACTAAGCATCGCAGGCCGAAAGGACCAGCACGGTGCTATATATAGATACTGCCAGCAGCCGGGGCCCTGCTGACCTCGCATCTCCCCTTCATGCCCTGCTGATTGTAGGCACTAATGAGCTCAGCATGCAGAAACCGCCATGGGAGCCTGGAGCCTGCAGGCATGGGGCTGCCAGCTCAGCCTGTTCGAAGGGTGCTGGCGCTGGGTCCACTCTGGGGCAGAAGCAGAGGTTGCTGTGCTTGGCCGAGGTGGCAGCATCCCTGCAGACACCGCCGGCCCAGGAAGCCTTCACCCCCGGCAGGCAGTTCTGGCACTTGGTGCCCAGCCAGCTGGCAACTGCTGGGCCATCCCATGCCCTTCCTTTGGTGGGAATTCCTGGAAGAATGGGGACTTTCCATCCCCATCTCTCCTCGCTCTCTGACACCCTCCTGCTGTGCAGCCCAGCCTCCTGCAGACGCTACTCCAGATGCATAAGGTCAGACCTGAGCATCCCTTCCTGGTCCCCGTGATGGTGGCCTGGGGCCATCACAACCAGCACTAGCCACTTCTAACCCGAGCAGGGTAAAAGATGCTCAGAAAGCGTTAAGCAGCACCGGTTTGCCACTGGGCACCGCGGGTTTGCTGTGGTGACCCTGTGGCAGCAGCTCCGGGGCTGAAGGGCAGCTCCTGGGCCCCGGGGGCTGGTGCCATGTCCTCAGCCCGGCACTGGTCCCCTGCCTAGCAGATGAGATCTGCAGACTCCAGAGCCTGGTTTGGGGTTGGCTGGGGCTTCTCTGGAGACACAGCAGGCAAGAGGCAGGGGGGGAAAAGCAGG